ATAACCAGTTACTCTTTAGTTGTGGGAGAGGAATAATTTGATTCTTACAGGTGTTACTACAGAGGAAGTGTTTAGGGTTTGTACACAAACGAGACGGCGGTAAAAGCACAAGTCAGACTCACGCATCTTTCTTTCTTTCTTTCTTTTTTTCCTTCTTTCTTTCTGTCTTTCTTTCTTTCTTTTTCTTTCCTCCCTTTTTCTATTTCTTTCCTTTTTAACCTTTTTATCCACACACATGTACGACGTGTACGACACATCACTCAAACAACTTTTATATGCCCTCCCAGATACCACACAGAAGGAAAAATTCAAGTATTTCAATAACAAAAGGCTTGCTTTTCCAGATCGAACCTTGGACACTCAATTCTAAATGCTAGGTCGAACGTTAACCAAAACGTCAATCAACGATGAGTGGTTTTGGAATTCCTTACCTAATTTTAAACTAGCGGAAGAATAAAAAACAGCCAAGGTCAGTGACAAGGAAATATCTATTCGATTAATAAGAAATATGTCTGAACTCATTCCCAGCTCTGTTAAGAAATAATCCACGTCATCCATTAGCCGTGTTCCTCAAGAAACAAGACGCCCTATAGACGTTCCCTGGGTTGCCTGTTTCATGCACAGAGGCCTAGTACAGCTGAAGAAGCTTGCAATGTTAGCCAAAAGATAATGGAATGTTTCACAGAAAAGAACAAGATCAAATATCCCAAGGTTAGTTCTCAGTCAGAATTACCAAATAATTTTCTTATCTTTTTACCATCCTTTGATATTATATTATTTACTGGGATGGCTGTTTATTTTCTTGTCAGAAAATGCAGAAATTGCGCAATAGTACCCAGACGTCTTCACGCACCACCCACTAGTCCTTTGCGGGCACATGATATAGAGATCCAAGTGCAGTAAATGTTCTTGTCAGCAAAATTTGCTAGGGAAGATAGCTCTACTTCAGTTTTCGCGGATCGATATTGCTTATRTGACTGATAACGTCTGAATGAATCTTTTTTCGCTTTATTAAGGACAATAATAAATAACGAAAGTATTGTCGAAGATTTAAATCTAATAAAAAATGAATAAAAAAAGAAAAATCTTATATCTAATGTGGATAAGATGGGATTCGAACCCACCAAATAAATTTTAAAAAATCGATTCCACTTTGCCATACCCCCGAGACATCCGCAGAGCTGAGGCGGCGTATGGACTTCGGACCTGACGGCGATTAAATCCTTCTGCCCTTGGGTGCACGAATTACACAAGAAAATGTTCTAGCCAAAGCATCAGGGGAGAGACCAGCCGGCCCCCAGACCATATCGGCTAATCCCTTGCATCTCTGCCACGCACTGAATCGGTTGAAAATATAATGTTAAAAAGTCTAGTCTATTCGGTGCATTGTCTTCACGGCTATTGTTATGCTGATTCACCTGGAACCGTGGTCGATTGGATAAATCGTTGTCGTTCAAGATACTGAGTCAAGCTCGTCTGAGGAGGGTTAGCACTTGGATGGGTGACCAAAACATTATACCTACTCACCCTTTTGCTTCTTTTTTCCGTTTTCCGTTTTTGATTTTAAACACGATATATTGTAGAATAGTGAAAATYTYCTATTTTTGAGTAACCTATTCCTATCTATTTTTTAAATCAAGCTCAGTCCATACGATGACACGAACCAAACTTAAACTCAAACAAAACTTTTTATGCTTTCTATAATCGTTTATAGCGCTAGCATTTCAAGTAAAAATTCTCGCAAGTAAAACTAATGACTTAAAACCAGRTGAAGGCGATCTACCACGGGGAATTGAAGGTCGCCAAGTGTATTTAGTAAACATGGAATTTCTTCACCCACGGGAAGATTTGAAGCCTTATTTAAAAGTTATTAATCTTAAACTCTTTCTGCTTTGAGGAGTTAAATTAAAATTTGAGTAGACAAACTGAAAGAAATATCTTTTCACGGCATCTTGAACTTTCTTGCTCAGTTTATACACCCGAGTAATTCCCAGTCCTGCACTGAGCCTCGAATGTAAGCAACTAACGAAAAAAGAATATGCATAGACATTTACTTCCGACACGTGATTCGCCGCCCCATCCCCTATCAATTACTTTGATAAATTAGACATTGATTGGCAACTGTTTGAATATAAATCAGACTTTACACGGGATCTCTGTATATTCATTTGTCCGCAAAGGACTCTTGGGTAAAGCCGTGAATACCCCTGGGTACTATTGCGCAATTTTGCCATTTAGTGATGCAGGAAAATACGGAGAAACGGAACGCATCTTTAGACTAGGGCTTCCACAGGCAACATAGTAAAACAAAATCTTCAAACATGAATTTATAAAGTGGGCTTCCTTTGGAGGGTTCCAGCATATAGCAGTAGACAGACTCGTACCCAGTCTTCACTCACTCACGCTTTTTTAATGCGCGCGGTGGCTTTTATGAAGGAGAGAGAAAAATTAATTTCTTTTTCAGATTGGTCAAGGAAATGAATTCAAAGTTATATGTTATAAAATACAGTCATATGGCATTTGCCGTATTTCCGTAAAAAAAATCAATAACGATAAAGAAATCAAAGACCTGTTACGAAACGATAAATAAATGGATGCTTACAAGATGTTTGTAGGTGCTTCACATTTCTCTTTCGTCCTTCCCTCGATGCACCGGGAACTCACTAAATCCTTCCCATCAACCACAGCGTGAGATCAATAAGACAAAAGAAGCGACTGGGTACGAGTCTGTGATCAGAACGTGTGTTTGAACGTGCGTAGCCTGATGCCGGCGAGATGAGCTGTAAAGTCTAGAAAGTCTTGTCACTCTTCAGGAATGTGCGGGATGAAACTAGATAAATATATCTCCTAATCAGTGAAGGTTAAGTACCAATACTTAAATCGAAATCACGTAAACCTATCCTGTTACGTGTTATATAGTGGTAAGTGATACCTATTACAATATACTAGATAATTCCATGCATTACTGTTCTGTAATAAAGTAACTACCTTATGGTGTAGAAATACATAATCTTCGTGGATAAGTTTAGTATTTCAGATACAAATGAGATACTTAGATTGACAGTGTAGCTCCTCTAGATTCAAGACAGACGTGTTCTACTATCAAACACATACACACGTGAATGAAGATCTATCGAAGATCTTTTATGACCCAGCTCGTCAAGTGACCTCAAGTGGCTCTTGAATAATCAATGTTAGGAAGACATTGCAGTGCATTGACTGTTTTAGAGTTTCGTCCCCTACAACACTTTCACAATGCTCTGCAATACTAACTAGGGCCATTTTTTTTTGAACGACGACGACAATGACAACGTCGACAACAACAGCAGCAACAATAACAACA